TCCCCCAAATGAATTTGTAGCCAGCCACAAGACCACCTCTCAGCCTTCTCTTACGGAGGTCCAGGTCCGTCAGGCTCTCCTCATAGGGCTTGTCCTGTAAGCCCCTAACCATATGAGTGGCCCTCCTCTCGAGTCTATCAACATCCTTCTTTAAGTGCAGCACCCAAAACTGGATGCAGTACTCCAACTGCGGTCTGACCAATGCTGCATAGAGGGGAAGTATCACCTCCTTGGTTCTATTTGTCATGCATCTGTTGATGCATGCTAAAGTGCGGTTAGCTTTGCTGATGATTTCGTCAAACTGATGACTCATGTTCATCTTGGAGTCCACTATGACTCTGAGATCCCTTTCCACTTTTGTGCTGCTGAGAAGGTCACTTCCTATCCAGTAGATGTGCTGGATATGTTTGTGCCCTAGGTGCAGCACTTTGTATTTGTCTTTGTTGTGCTGCATCCTATTGTGTACTGCCTACTTTTCTAACCTGTCCAGGTCTGCCTGCAATTGTTCCCTACCCTCCGGAGTGTGCAATTCACCCCCCAATTTAGTACCATCCACAAACTTGGACAGAGTACACTTCACACTCACATCCAAGTCACTGATGAAGATATTGAAGAGTACAGGTCCAAGGACTGAACCCTGCGGGACCCCACTACCCACATCCTTTGAGGTCGATACTGACCCATCTACTACCATTCTCTGGGTGCAACCATTAAGCCAATTTGCCACCCACCGGACTCCGTAAACATCTATGTCACAGCTTCTTAATTTATTTATGGGAATGGAATGAGTTACCACATCAAAGGCCTTGCTAAAATCCAAGAAAACGACATCCACCTCTACTCCTGCATCTAAGCGTTTTTTGACCCTGTCATAAAACAAAACCAGGTTGGTCAGGCATAATCTGCCTGCTACATTATTTTTTCCACTAGACTCCCACAGATATGGTCCTTCATAATCTTTTCAAAGACCTTTCCAAGGATGGAGGTGAGACTGACTGGCCTATAATTACTCGGATCATCGTTCCTCCCCTTCTTGAAAATAGGGACCACATTGGCCCTTTTCCAGTCCTCCGGGACCTGACCCAAGTGCCACAAGCGCTCAAACAGCCATGCCAGTGGTTCTGCTATGACACCAACTAATTCCTTCAGTACTCTCAGATGCAGCTCATCTGGGCCTGCTGACTTGAACACATCCAGTCCATCCAACTGATTCTGCACCAAGTCAGCATCAGTAGTTGGTGGGCTGGTGTCCCACTGATGCCCATCTAAGAACCCATTAGGAGACTTATCTTGAGTCCTATTCAGTAACACTGAGGCAAAAAAAACTCATTGAATAGCTCATCCTTTCCCCCCCCCCCCCCCCCCCCCCCTTGCACCTTCTTGTTCACTAGGGGTCCTATGCTGCCCTGCACCTTCCTTTTACTCCCTACATACCTAAAAAAAAGACTTTCTTGTTGTCTTAAATTTGTGTTGCCAGCCTCAGCTCTGTAGTTGCTTTGGCCTTTCTAACTGCCTCCCTGCAAGTATGGGCCAAGTAGGTATACTCCACCTTGGTAGCTTCCCCCTGCTTTCACCGCCTATATGCCTTCTTTTTGCCCTTAGGCTCCCCTGGATTTCTATGTTTAGCCAAGGAAGTTTTTTGGCTCCCTTCCCTCTTTTCCCTTGTAGTGGGATCATCTCCCTTAGCACCCGAAGGATCGCTTCCTTTAGGAACGACCACCCTCCCTGGACTCCCATCTTGCTATCCTATAGTGTGTCATTGACTAGACTCCTAAGCATACTGAAGTTATCCTTCCTAAAGTGAAGCACTTCCACCCTACTAGTTATCTTACCCACCCTGTGCTGTATGGTGAATTTGATTGATTGGTGGTCACTATCCCCAAGGTGACCATGAATCTGTAGCTCTCCTACCAGGTCATCCCCCATAGCCAAGTGCAGTAAGGCATTCCCTGTAATGGGACTGTATACCTCCTGCATTAGGCAAAATTCATTTAGATTATTTCTGTAAGGTACACAGAGGCACATGGAATCATGTTCTGCTTGCAGTTACACCTACATACTAATAATTTCATAAAATCATAGAAGTAGGGTCGGAAGGGACCTTGTAGATCTTCAAGTCCGACCCCCTGTCTGGGCAGGAGGAAAACTGGGCTCAAATGACCCCAGCCAGGTAGGCATCAAGCCTCTT